GGCCCTGGGGGGTTTTGGGGGGGTCCAGACGAGGTCCTGGGGGGAGGTTGGGGATTTAGGGACAATTTGGGGGTCCCAGGTGGGGTCCCAAGCTCCTGCTGTGTCCCCCCAGACGCTGCAGGACGCCCCCCAAACTGGGCCCCGGGGCGGAAGAAAAAGGATTTCTCCTGCAGTGACCGACTGGTGAGACCCCCAATCCCCTGGGACCCCCAAAAACCCACCTGGGGACCCCCAGAATCCCACCTGGGGACCCCCAAAATCCCACCTGGGAACCTCCAAATCCCCTGGGACCCCCAAAAACCCACCTGGGGACCCCCAAATCCCCTGGGACCCCCAAAACCCACCTGGGAACCTCCAAATCCCCTGGGACCCTCAAAACCTGCCTGGGAACCCCAAATCCCCTGGGACCCCCAGAATCCCTGGGCATCCCCCCCTGAAATCCCTGCAGTTCCACCCTGTGCCCCTCCCAGTCTCCCCAGTTCCTCCCCCCAGTCCTCCCAGTTCATGACCCTGGGGTCTCCTGTGTCCCCCCAGTCCCTCCCAGTGCCCCCAAACCCTCAGGCCACTCTTCCAGTGCCCCCAGTTCACCCCCCCAGTCCCTCCCATTTGCCCCCAGTACTCCCAGTTGATCCCAGTGTTCCCAGTTTGCTCTCAATGCGGGGCTGCGGTTCCTGACTCCTGAGGAAAAGTTCCTGGGCTGGGCCCCGGCGCCCTTTGACCTCCCAGCCTTCGACCCCGTGAGTGACCACTGACCCTGAGTGACCACTGACCCCATAAATGACCACTGACCCTGAGTGACCACTTACCCCATAAATGACCACTGACCCTGAGTGACCACTGACCCCATAAATGACCACTGACCCTGAGTGACCACTGACCCATAAGTGACCACTGCCCCCGTAAATGACACCTGACCCACAAATGATCAGACCCCATAAATGACCACTGACCCCATAAATTATCAGACCCCATAAAAGACTACTGATCCCATAAAAGACCCCTGATTCCATAAATGACCCCTGACCCCATAAATGACCACTGCCCCCATAAATGACCACTGACCCCATGAGTGACCACTGACCCCATAAATGACCAGACCCCATAAATGATCACTGCTCCCATAAATGACCAAACCCTATAAATGACCAGACCCCATAAATGACCACTGACCCCATAAATGACCAAACCCTATAAATGACCAGACTCCATAAATGACCCCTGACCCCAGAGGCTGTCCCCATTCCTGACCTTTGATCTTTGTCCCCAGCGCTCCCTGGACACCGCGGTGGCCCCGGAGCTCCCCCAGGCCGAGCTGGTGTCGGACAAGGCCGAGGTGCTGCTGACCGTTGGCTTCCCTGGGGGTGAGTGACCACTGACCACTGAGCCCAGTCTGGGCTGTGATCCCTGGGGGGGCGAAAAGAGAAAAGAAAAAAGGAGGAAAAAATGGTGAGAAACGTGAGGGGAAGAATGGAGGGAAACGTGAGGGGAAAAGAGAAGGAAACGTGAGGGGAAAAATGTGGGAAAAGTCAGGGGAGAAAAGGGTGAGAAACGTGAGGGGAAAAGGGCGGGAAACATGAGGGGAGAAAATGGAGGGAAAGGTGAGGGGAAAAGGGAGGGAAAGGTGAGGGGAAAAGGGTGGGAAATATGAGGGAACAAGGGAGGGAAATGTGAAGGGAAAAGGACCGGAAATGTGAGGGGACAAGGGAAGGAAATGTGAGGGGAAAAGGGAGGGAAATATGAGGGGACAAGGGAGGGAAATATGAGGGGAAGAGAGTGGGAAATGTGAGGGGAAAAGGGAGGGAAATGTGAAGGGGCAAAAAAGAGCGGGAAACGTGAGGGTGGAAAAATGGCAGGAAACTTGAGGGGACAAAATGGTGGGAAATGTGAGGGGAGAAAAGAGGGGGAAATGTGAGGGGAAAAGAGCAGGAAAACATGAGGGGAGAAAGGGAGGGAAAACGTGATGGAGGAAAAAGGCAGGAAATGCGAAGGGGGAGAAAAGGGTGGGAAATGTGAGGGGAGAAAATGGGAAATGTGAGGGGAAAAGGGTGGAAAAACCTGAGGGGGGAAAAAAAGGGCGGGAAACGTGAGGGGGAAAAATGGCAAGAAACGTGAGGGAAGAAAAAGGTTGGAAATACGGAAAATTGTGGGAAATGTGAGAGAAAAAAGGAGAATTTTTCCCCTCAGCTGGCAAATCCACTTTTGTGAAGCGATACCTGATCCCGGCAGGATACGAATACG